AAAAACCGTAGTGGGAGCTGAACAGCAGCGCCATGCTGAAGCTGAACAGCAGGGGGAACCCGACAGTTGTCCCGCATCGGCCCCGGAAAAGCCGGGTGGGAGCCCGGCAGCCTTCTAATGGAGGCGCGGGATACCCGGAAGCCCCGGTGCGTGTCGTCCCTGAGCCCCCGGCACTCACAGCCTCCGTAGTTTCCCTGGCGGCAAAGCTGCTCAAGGGCTTCCATTGATCCTTGCTGTAAAAGGTGCCACTGCAGTTCTCACACTGCGACAGATAAAGAAAAACAAAACAGGAGCTTAGACAAAACAAACAAACAAACAACCCTCAAGTTTAAAACCAAACAATCAACCTGAACAGGAACCCACAAGAACAGCATCTTGCAACACTTCTTACCTAAGCAGCACCAGTGCTGGGCTTGAGGGCACAGCCTCATCCTGATCGCCTCTCCATCAAGAGGAGTAGGAGGAACTGCAGCACCCACAACCTTAGAGTTGTGTTTTGCCTCAAGAAATAAAGCAGCAATCCTGAGCCAACCGCCCCCAAACCAAGAAGTAGAAACCAGATGAGAGTACCATGATGACCCCCCCCCAAAAGAAAGGAGAACCCAGCTGCAGTTCTAAGCCAGAACCACAAAAAAGCAGGTAGAGAGCCCAGCAGCCTCTCAGTAGACACAGAGAACCACAAAAGTTCCCCCCATAGCTCTCAGGAGCCTCCAGTGAGGGTTTAAAAGGCTTTGAGGCAGGCCCTGCCCAGGGCTCCCAACAAGGCACAGCTGTGCCCTGGCAGCCCCGGCCCCACAGCACCTGCTTCGTTAGCACAGGTGGGTCTCATTAGGGCCATACTGGGATACTGACTACCTAGTTGGTTGCTTCTGCTCTCTCAGCTCTTGAAAATGATAGTTGGCTCTTTGCTTCTCAGGCAAGAGGTTCTTTGGATTTACATTGAGTTTTTTCATTTAATTAGAAAAAAAAAATAAAAATGAACCAGTCGCTGAAGAGTCCAATCCTAAGATACGAAGGGACCATTTGGAATAATCAGTAGTGACCTTCAGACAGCATAGATGATGTTGTCCGACACAGCTGCATCACGTAGCTCCCTTCCTCACAATAAGTCTCGCTAAAACAGCAGACCCCGATCTCGCTCCGGGTTTGTGTGCCGAGTGACTGATCCGGTTTTGCTAGACAGTGCAGCCTAACAAAACCTGTGTAGCCTAAGAAAAGGCATCATTAGGTGAGTTTTGCTCCAGAAGCAAAGCAAACAAAGCAAGAGCTGAAAAGAACCAAAAATGTATCAAGCTGACAAAAAGACATCGGTGGGAAGTGAAAGACAATAGAAACAATGATAACAGCATTGTCGCGTGCTTTTGTTACACGACCAATTGCGGATGCACTGCGCAGTCAGAAGTATTTCAGATTGCTGTGTATATGCCACAATCACTTCTTTACAAATATGTAGATCCTCGCCCACAAAAGCTTTTTTTTTTTTTTTTTTCAGTGCAACAATTCTAGATCAAATGGTTTCCATTTCAACGGCTCAAAGAAAATAGCGCAATCCAGAAATAGTATTAACATCCATGATTGCTCTGGCGGGGATTACTGAAGCACAGTCATTCTGGCATTTATCAGTATGCATTCTTCATTTCCATAGTCATCTGAATTGGTCTTACTCTGTCTTAACTCGGCCTGACATAGACTACTTGCAAAACTAAGTATAAAGCTGAGTAATCTGGGACAATAGTTAAAATAGACACTTACATAGATGCTAGAACTAAACAGCAAATGCCATTTTTTTTTTTTTTTCTTTTTTAATAAGTTTATCTGGTATGAAACTGCTATAACTAACTTCTTTTGAACATTTCTCTGTGGTTTTGTGCATTGTATCTCCAGTCACTGAATCTGAGGCTTCGGTATAAACATAAATTCTCCTCATTGAACGTTCACAGCTCTGGTGAAGATCAGTCCTGGGACACGCGAAGCGTTGTCCAGTAGGGAGCCTACCTGGAACAGCTGAAATAAAAACTTTTCATTTTCCTGCAATGCCAAAGCCATACATTGCAGAAAAAAACACCTACACAATGTCAGAATGTACGTTTTCACTTGCCCATTCCCCTTGTCCTAGCAAACCAGCACATCTGTCAGACCAGAGGTTGCAGAACAAGGCGTGCAGCAGAGCGCCCCGGGGACCTGTGTGGATTTTGGTGCTTGCTGCCAGACTCCCCAGTGTTGCAAAATGAGGCCTTTGGCCACACTGCAGTTGTAAATAAGTTGGAGCCGGGAGGAAAACACCAGAACTGCTCAATGTGCATATGCTGGGGTATGTCAATTTTAGGAGAGTGGTGATGAGAAATACAACAAAAGGCAGGATCAGCCCTTCCAGGCAGCTCAGGTTATTTCCACATTGCAAAATACTTTAGGAAATGGGCAATTTTTTTCTACTAAAGCTTGGGAAAAAAAAAAGGAAAAAAGAAAAAAGAAAAAAAAGACAGAGTCCACTGGTCACACGGCTTTGTTTCTTTCCTTGGCAATTCGGAAACAGTTGCTGACTCAGTGGCTGGATTTTGTCTGGGAATTCACTGCATCTCCTCAGTGGCTTTCCCCTGTGCTCGCTCCCTCCAGCCACTTGTGTGTTGATATCCAAACCACGTAGCCCGTTTATGACTACCAGCAAGATCAGTCATCTCAAGGTTTCCTTAATAACAGAGTTTGTTTCTGTGGTTACGTGGACTTTTAAAAGAAATTACTGGCATTCAGCTGAAGCAGTAGCTGCCTGAGTCTGGCTGTTACTGGGGCTACTACTGGCTCCTATGATATGGAAGTCATTTCTTTTTTAACTCTGCAACACACGTGTCCCAGGTTCAAGAAATCCCAGCACTCAGGACCCCATCAGAATGTGCTACTTTATAGACAGTTAACGACTTGTACCTTATGCCTGTTAACTAATGTTAACATATTATTTTGTCAAAGTTGTCACTTAATTTGAAGAGCCAATTTTCTCCCTGAACTTCTTTCAAGACAGCAGTCGTATCCCCCTCAGCTCCTTTCTGCTGGATTTAACAGACAGATGAAGTTTATTTTCATAAGAGAAACGTCATCTTTTTTCCCTTCATATCCTCTCATTCCAAATCTTTTGCTTTGCCCACAAATAGTAAGAAATACACAGTGGTCCAGATGACACATCCTCATTGCGTCACCTAAAATAAATGATAGTGTTTATTTACAGCATCTGCAGGGAAATCCTCTTCCCCTGCAGGCCTTCTCATGGCTGCATCCAACAGATTAATGCACCCGTTTCTCTTTCCTGTCTTCAGTTCACCCAGCTGACAGGAGCCACTAACAGCTTTGCTGTGTTTGGGTCGTGGTCACCAGACAGGGCTGGCTGGGCTCCAGCTCCCTTTCTAGAGAGATGGACTTGGCCATTTTGCTTCAGTTCTAGTGGCTCAAAACTTTCCATTATAAGTTGCTGTTTTTGTTTGGTTTGCGTGGACCAAACTCAAATGTGTTCAGTATCACTTTTTCCTCACTTGCAGACTGCTCCAAGTTGTGGGTTTTTTTTTCCTCCATCTCAGAAAATGTGAATAATTTGTTTCTGAGGGCACGCCTGTGGAAGATTAGTTGTTAACATTAAATTCTTCCATCCGTTTCTTTGAAGAGCTTTACCCCCCGCTTACAGTGGAAAGAAACCTAAAATTTTGCAAGTAAACCCTCTCAGGAGGCATCTTTTGCTGTCCCCATGAAAATCTACCCAAACGTAGACTCACATAAACTTCTGAAAATTCCACTTGTTTGCTTCCACAAGCACACGTCTCATGCTGCTCTGCGGAGGCTGGGCTCGCACCTTGGGTGGAGAGAAAAGCCTGGGACCTGTTGCCCTGAGGACAACTTACTGCTGGTAATGGCAGAAGTGACAGCCCGTCTCTGTCCTCCCATTGCCTGTGTCTTTACTCATTCAGTCCAGCACAAGATCCTGAGGTTGACAGGGGTCTTCTGATGCTTTGCCTTAAGGAGGTGAGCACATCTGACTCTTGCAATGAAAATAGTTGCATTATACCTATGCCCAAATAAGGAGTAAAAATGTTTCAGAGTGGAAGTCCTGTATGCCCCGAGGAAATTTTCTCTCAGGAAGTTAAACCTTGATGTATTGGCACCAGGACGGACCACAAGCAGATAGATTCATAGAATCATAGAATGCCTTGGATTGGAAGGGACCTCAGGGATCATCAAGCTCCAAGCTGCCTGCTGAATGCAGAGCCACCAACTTCCGTAGGGGAGGTGCTCCAGCCCTCCGATCATCTTCGTGGCCCTCCTCTGAACTCTCCCCAACAGCTCCTCGTCTTTCTTGTACGGGGGCCCCAGATCTGGACACAGTACTTCAGACGGAGCCTCGCTAGGGCAGAGAAGACAGGGACAATCACCTCCCTGCCTTCTGGCAACCCCTCTTCTGGTGGAGCCCAGGATACCATTGGCCTTCCATGCTGCAAGGGCACACTGCTGGCTCATGTTAAGTTTTTCATCCATCTTCTTTGTTGATTTTCCCCTGGAGCCTCAGAGCCTCACGACTCTGCATTTTCTTAAATACACTGCCCTCAAGAGCCTGTGGAACAGTTATCCAGTGGGAATTGCTTCTGAGTGGGCTGTTGATATTTAAGCCTGTGAAGGTTGAATGTTTTGGGCCCTGGGAACACAGACTGCTTTTAAAGGCTGATAGTCCAAAGAAATATAATTATGCTACATTTATTTTATGGTCGTAATGATGTATGGTTTCTGAATTTTTTTTACTAATGTAGAATTTCTTTGCTGATGAAAGGGAAGATGTGGGAAATGCGCTACCTTAGACCAAGATCTTTCATACGATTAGACTTCCCTTCAAATAAAACTTGGGAGTGATCACTAGGATAGCAGAGACTGATCTATTTTGAATAGCTTCTGTATATAGCATCTGTCTTTGTGACTGTTAATGCTCTTGGTAAAAAAGGGTTAATTTAGTCCTAAAAGGATTATAGATCTGCAGGAGGGCCTATAATTAGTAAAATATTTGATGAGCCAGTACAGACCTTAAAACAAATTTTTCTCTGAAGCATGTGGAAGTATCACCACTTCCAGTACAGGAGAAAAGCAGAACTTCAGCTTCATGAGCAAAACATTTTGTTGACTGGCTGAATCGGCCTTATCTCCTGTAACTAACACAGAAGGCTGGAGAACGATAAAACTCCAGGGGAAAGGCTCCTTAAAACAAAACAAAACAAAAAATTCTTTTCAGTAAGGAGAGTCAATAACTAGATGTGATACTTGAAGAGAAGTCCATCCTGTGTCGGTACGGAAGATGCGAAAGACTCTTTAGCAGCTGAGAACTGCAATGTTCTCAGCTTTCAGTCTCAGTTCTCTTTGGCCCTGGAACAGCAAAGACAGGTATGCCTTGCAGGAAGCAGGAAGGTGGGGTTCTGGCCAAAGTGCTGGAAGACTGTGACGTAAGGTCTTGTGGATCCTGGTAGGAGAAAAGCAAGGACACTATTGCTGAAGTCTGGAAAGTGTTTGTGGGCCAGATGAAGCGTCTACATATAAAAAGTTCATCTGGCCAGAGCAGTAGGATCTAAAAATTAGGTCTGTATACCAAAAAAAGGTGATTGTCCACAAAATGACCTCTGCCAGCGATGTAAATCTTGTGTGTGCGCTTCACTTTGTTCTCACTGCTGCTGCCTTGCCTTGTTTTGAGCTTTGAAAGCAGT